TCTCTCTCTCTCTCTCTCTCTCTCTCTCTCTCTCTCTCTCTCTCTCTCTCTCTCTCTCTCTCTCTCTCTCTCTCTCTCTCTCTCTCTCTCCTTAGCGCTAGTTGCTCCTCTCGTCACTGGCCTCGGCCCACTGTGCTCGACAGTCGGAGGTCTCTCAACGCTACACAGCGCGCCTCCCCGTACACCTCGATAGTGCCTGCGGATACAACCCGCTGGCCCGTGGTCAAGGAAGCCGAATCCCAATAAGGAGGCCGTAATTCCCCACCAGCTGGCTCTATCAACTTCGGGGACCGACGGCCTTGCAGTATACTGCCTAAGCGAGAGCCAGCCCTTCGGTATGTGGAAAAGTCCGGGCCTGCTGCAAGATGGGGCAAGGATATCGCTTACCTTAATTTGCAGCCCAGTCATCTTACATTGCACCATTGCGGTCCTTCCTTGGTAACCCTGGCACCCTACCACGCCATGGTATAAACCCTGCCCACCGGACCCCAACGGTCGTACTCATACGCAGGCCTGTCTCGACAAGTGGTGGGTAGCGGGCCGTATGCCCGTGGCGCCTCTAGCTGTCCTCAGGCTGCGACCCCCTGGACCCGCTCAGATTGCTCTCCAATTCCCTCCCACCTTAAGCTATCGACGCTCTCCAAGTGGGAAGCGAGGGAAGCCACGACCACGGACCCAACACTCGTCGACCTCTCCAGCCCTACTTCAAAACGGGCGAGGCCAGAAAATTTTGCCACACCCGATACGTCAAACGGGCTAGCCAAAAAAGAAGACGTGTGCTCAAGGTCCTCGGCCGACCTTTGAAATCCGTACTTGGCGTGGTCAGAAAACATGAACACTAAATAAAATAATAATAAACCCATTTTTTCTTTTGGAACCAACCTAAAAAGAAAAGTAGAAAAACTAAGGGAGCCGGGGCGCGGAACTTACCGCAGCTCCTTTCCTCGGCCCCGCGGCAGCAAAAGGCGAAGGGGATAGTCCCACAGGCCCATCAACCCCTCAAGCCTTTTCGCCACGCTCCTCCGCTCCCTTGCCGCATGCTATTGGCCTCGATCCCTGCACCTGCTGCGTACCAATTCGATGCTATAACCTATAGGGCTAAGCCCAAGCCTGGTACCAGCAGGCCTGACTCACCTAATAAAGAGGTTGCCCCTGGCCTTTTGGGGCCAAAGGAGCCACCCCATGCCATTTCCTAACCCGTACTCACACACATGACCACAAAAAAGCCTCGTCGGCCTCCCGACCGTGCCGTGGCTACCCTTACCCGGTCGAATCCATCAGTTCCCATCATCTGGCTTCCGTGTAAGTCCACACCGGCTCACTGAACCATCCAACATACTATGCGGAACCAAAGAACGGAGTGTCCCTAAGTTAGTCAGTTTAATCAAAGCAAAACGACTGTTATGATAGAGCACGTCGACGAACATCCACGCCATGCCTTCTATCGCGATCAAAAGGGAGAAAATCACACGCACCTCAAACCTGCGCGCCCACACACTCTCTATTTCTAGGTGTTACCGTCGAACCTTTAGTCCGCGCGCCCCCGCAACTCGCGCAGTCTTCCCATAAATTCTGAATCGACCCATTCCTCCGTCAACTACAAAACCCCAGTGCGAGTACCCTTGTCAGGGTATTCGCACCGACAACTTACCAGACCATAATAAGCGACGTCCCCGTCACTTACCAGACCATGTCAAGCGACTCCCCCGTTGCTTTGCAAGATCGAAAAGCTGTCAGATTTCTCAAAATGTTGATAAAAATATGGACCAATCCGATTAGCCGACAGACCCGAGGTGGAAGCTTCCATCAAAACATGCTTTTGCACCTATATGCTGCCAGGGTTCCAATCCGGGTCCCCATCGCCGCTGTCAATAGGATACTGACAGCATAAGTTTCAAAGGCCTTCCCAATTATCCTCTCACCTCGGCCCTAGACAACCTTCGGCTTCTCGTTGGGTGTCCCTAGTCCTGGCTAAAACTAGGGACAAGGGCCCTAACCGAGACCTTTGACAGCACGCTCGCCTTCCTTTCCAAGAAGTTCCTCACAATCAAATACATATATGTATATATACATAATCTCTACTCGGCTCTTTCTGCAGTCTAGTACAAAAAGGTCAGGTCTCCATCTTGGCTCACCATAGCCTGGCTGATCATATCAGAACTACGACCCACCGCGTTGTTATCTAGCGACAGTACCCTCGCTGGTTGCGCAACGATGAGGTTTCCCCTGATAACCATCCAATCAGGATTTCCAAAAAGACTTGACTCTTACCCCGCGAAGCAATTTCCCTGGGGCGGGCAACTCCCCGTAAACTCTTACTCCACGGTCTCGCAGCCAGGTTGCGCCGGCTAACAGCCATCCACTGGGGTTGCGCCCTAGTGGCGCTAAACTTCTTTTCCGCTAGCTTGGCCTTCCTTCAATATGTCTCAGAACTAGCACAAGTGGTTAAACAAGACGTCTCAAAAGAAAAATCACGGGCTTACTGCGAGGTTACGTAGGGGCCTGAAGGCATTTACCAGCTCTCCTTCAAAAGACATGGCATCCTTCGCACAATCACAAAACATAATCACTACTAGGTCCACAAGGTCGTGACCCCTGACTTAATCAGAGCCAGCAGCCACTCATCCTAAGACATCTCTCGCCCTGTACCCCATGCAACCTTCTCAAACACTTCAAGCAGAACGTGGCCCTTTTCGTCAGACTTTATCACTAATCAGACAACTTACTATGTCATTAATCAGTCCACCCACCTTTGGGGGTGAGTCTTCCAACAACCCAAAACCACCCCCTTCTCCATAAATCCAAGGGGATTTCACCACAAAACAAAATACCCCCTCTTCCAAAATCACGAGGGATCTCATCATAAAGCCAAACATCCCCCTTTTCCAAAACAAAATCTAAGGGGGTCTCATTATGGAACAACCATCACTGAGAGACCATCTTATGGGTTCTCGTCACAGCTTAAGCAATCAACATTCAACATGATAAAGCATTCGGGTCTCAAAGATCCACAAATCCCTTAGGATTCTTACGATCATTCATAAACAGACTGCACTCCCTCTTCTTATACTCTGCCCTATCCTCTGCCCGTAAGCAGGTTGCACGAGTATACCGAAGAGTAGATAGTTTCACATAACTCACATCCATTAACATGAGATGCATCATGAACATCTCTCACACAGAACCATCATCCATCAACGTAAGAACCACACATGCGAGTGTGAGAGTGATTGTCATACACAAAGAATAATTTTAGGAAGAAAAATCTCGATTTAATATACACTCAGGGATAAAAATGCCCCGCAAACAAATGAGTCCAAACATAGCTCACTCGTCTCAAACAAATCCAACTCACACTAGTACTACCTTCAGAATACATGCTGGGTTTGTCTCTCAAAGGTCAGGGTGTAGGCCACCTAGATATGTACACGCCCCATCTATCACGTCCTGACTCTCAGGGTGACAAGCTTAGTAGAAGTCCAAATCCAAACCATCTGTCAGATGCAAGTGAACATCTAAGCCTAAAGGATGTCATCTAATCCTAAGCTCAAGTCCTATATACAACAAAACAATCATATAGGTAAACCAGTCCTACTCACTCATGTCCTCCTGGTTTTGCCTATACAGCTGAGCCCTACCCCCATCTGCCGACCTCTCCACTCTCCTGCCCTATCTATCATACATCCTGCCACCCTCCTCAGTAACTTTCCCTTCAGCCTTGTCCCTTAGGAATTTAGGACACTCCAAGGCCCGATGACCCTCCTTTGTACAGAAGAAGCAGGATGTATCAAACCACTTCCTGGATTTCTTCTTTCCCCTTTGAGATCCTGGCGATGATGGTGCTTCGCTGGCCTCCCTGCTCAGCTCATGACTCTCAGGCATATCCAAAGGCTCCACTTTTGTCTCCAACCCCTGGGTACTCGGTCCTGGTCGAACCCCAATCCCCTCTGGCCCATACTAAGGCGTGTCCAATCTCTGGGGTCCGCCCTCAATGACACCCTCTGTCTCAATCCCCATTTCTCTCTCAAGAGGCTCCTCTATCCTCTGTTCAGGCGAAAACAAACTTGTCTCCTCCTGCATAGTATGCACTGCCTCAAGGAGCACGTCCATGGATCCCTCTGCTGAGCCTTGAGCTGGCTCACTGCTAGATGGTGGTAGCCCCTGCTCAACTGCCAATGGCATGACTGGGTCCGCCGCTACTATAGGTAGCGTCACGAGTTCAGTAGGGGCTCTGAACTCGAAGGCCTCTCTTTGTGCCTCCCTCTTGGCCTTCGCCTCCTCAGGTTCCAAGATAACTCTCCCTATGGGTGACTCCTGGCGAGGCTCTGCTGCAGATGGCTGCCCCGACAACCCCTGTCCGGGCTGTCTTTGCTCTCCCTGCCGGCTGCTCTCGGCCTTGTCCTCTCCCCCTTGAAGCTGCTGCCTCAAGCCCTCAATAATGGCAGCCTGACTAGCCACCAGAGTCCTGAGCTCCTGGATCTCTACCTCCATCGTCTCCAAGCGTAGCCCATGGCCTTCTTCCTTCATCTTCTTCCCTGCCAGATGGCTTTCCACCATCAGATACCGATCAAAACTGGTCTTTGCAAGGAACCTGATCTTGCGATCCAACCTCTCTTCTGCTTTCCTTGCCAGCCCTTGTTGGAGAAGAAAGCCCCTCTCCCCTTTGCTCCCAGAAGTCTCTCCACATCTCTGGGATTTCAGGGGCCTTAGGTGGCGCGTTGGGTGGCTGATCCGGAAGTGCCCCTGCTGCCTCCAACCTCTGTCTTTCCTGCGGCTGCTCCGGAAGTGCCCCGACTGCCTTCAACCTCTGCCTTTCCTGCTGCTGCTCCAGAAGTGTCCCCGCTGCCTCCAACCTCTGCCTTTCCTGCCATATCTCTTCTATTCTCCTGCTTCTTCTCGCCCTCTTTTCTTCAGTTGTTTCGCCAACTGGTGCCCTCTCCCTCGTGCGATAGTCGACCCTCTTCGGGATCTCTGCCTCCACCTCCTTCTCAGGCTGGCACAGCTCCTGACGCGGCTCTGCAGGTGCTGGCTCCTCCAGGTCTGAGTGCTCCAGGGCATGAGTTGCTAGGTGCCTGTCAATCAAGGCCAAGGCTTCTCTCCTTACAACTGCAGTCTCTCTCCTCCTTTCTGCTCTTCTCTCTGACGAAGGAGCCTTTTCTGATAAAGGCATTGGGGCCTCCTCTCTATGCAATCCCTCTTCTGCCTGGCGAGTGCTCCCTGGTGTATCCCCAGGCCTCAAACCCACTGCTGGCGTCCGAGGGGGTGTGTCCTCTCCAACCTCTATCACTTCCTTCCCTGCACGTCTCCCCTCATCACCCAGCCTCCTCTCTCCTTGAGTGTCCCGGGCCTCCTCTCGTGGTACCTCCTCTTGTGGCACCTCCTTTGCCTGTCCTCCACGCTCCTCGCCTCGAGGCGACGTTTCCCATCGAAAGACGTCCAGATGCGCCTTCAACTCTCTCAGCGGCCCCTCAGATGTTGGCGCCTCCTCCTGTGTGCACACTGGCGACCTCCTCAATCCACCCTCGGTAAAATTATGGAACTCCACCGGTCCCAGTCCACACTCAGGATACGCCCCTCGCTCCTCAACCTCAGGCTTCGACTCCTCTTCTCTCCTGGTTAGGGCTTTCCGTCCCCCTCGAGATGGACTTGCCTCACTGGGCTCAGGGTCCCTCTGCCTCCTGCTCCTCTGGCGCCTCTCAACTCGGGGTCGAGGCGACTCTGGCCGTCGAAAGGCCTCCCTCAAGTGTGCTCTGCAACTCTCCCAATCCCGGGCCATATCTTTGATCTGCCTTGCCAGTGGCCTCTCCGCCTTTCTGGTCCAGAGGGGTCGCGTCCTCGCCCAGTCATCTCTCGGTGTACCCTGCCCCTGCATGAACCACTCGAAGGCAGGGATAAAGTCCGCCGCATTTCCGATCTCTAGGCGAATCGGCCTGCCATCAGGTCCCACAGGCGAGGGCCGTAGCTCCTGCATCCTCATCTCCATCTCCGGCCTCGTCGTCGCCTCCCTACAGATTCGGGCAATGGGCTCCTCGAACCTGTCGGCTCCCCTCAATCTCTCAATCACCTGGGTCACGGTCCAGCCCATACGCCTTGCATGCGCCCAGAAACTGTACAGGAATAGCTCGATGTCCCCATCATCGTATACCGGAGTACTCTCTCGATGGCGAGGCCCATGCCGCTCATATCTTCCTGATGCCCCCAATGGCCTTCGTGGCGGTCGTGTCCCCTTCCCTCCTCTTGGCATGACTGTCTTCGTAAAGTCAGACCTGCACAACAGGCGAAGGAGACAACAGGCATGCATTGGGGTAAGCAAAACAGGTGATAATCAAAGCAAGCTTAGACCAGACCATACTCATGCAGCATGCAGCCTATCTGACCTACACATCCTATTGCTTTTACTCTAAAGGAAGTCAGATCATCTCTCTCACCTCTTCTCTCGCCACAAATTTCTTCAGCCGCGTTCTAGATACCCAGTCCTTCTATTCAATCTCATTCAACTCTTTGATCTGATATGCTCCAAAATCTCCACACCGAACGATCCGGTAGGGACCTAACCACCTCTTATCGAGTTTCCTGGACCATTGCTTCTCCAACGATGAATCGTACAAAAGTACGACATCCCCAACTGTCAAGGGTATTTTTCTCACTCGTGCAGACTGGTCCCAGCGAGCCTTATCATCCATACGGCTTCTCTCCACTTGATTGGACGCCTTCTGGATCCTGTCCTCTATCGCCCCCACCTGTCGCGCCCAAATATCGAGTAACTCTTCAAAAGACAAGTTGACTTCCAGGTCCTGACGCCTCTAGGTCTTAAGAAAACTCTCGATTGGGAAGGTGGCATGCCTTCCATACCACAACGTCGCCAGTGCGTACTTGGTGGATCTTTTCACTGTAATGTTCTCGACAAAGAATGTCACCCTTAGGTACCTTGGCCATTGATTAGGCCTACCTTTAGTCCACTTAGCCTGGAGGTTCGTAATGGTCTTATGTCCCCTCTCCACCGGAGCATTTGTCTGGGGGTGTGCGGCCGTGGTGTAGTTGGCTACTACACCATACCTTGATAGCAGCTCTTGCACCTCCTGGCAGGTAAACTCCGATCCCCTATCCATTACGAACTCCCTGAGGAAAGGATAACGCAGGTAGTACTTCTCGATGCAGCTAACCAAGATTGGCCCAGTCTTCGTACGAATGACACGTCCGTCTACGAAGCCAGACAGATTATCATGCGCATCGAAGATGTAGTTATAGCCCTGATCCCCAAGCGGCATGAAAAGTAGATCGAGATGCACTACAGCCCCCACCTCTCGCTCTAACCTTGGATGTAGCGGCTCTCCTTGCCTCAAACGGGATCTCTCCTGGCAGGGCACGCAAGATCGGCAGAACTTCCCAATCATGTCCATCATTTCATCCCAGTAGTACAACTCACTTATTTTGGCGTATGTGACCTGTACCCCTCGATGCCCTCCTGCAATGCCATCATGAAGTGTTGCTATGACGTCAATCTGACGATTCCTACCGCAGACGACTCTCCTGGGATTCCCCACTTCTCTCCTTACGAAAAGATGGTCATCTCGCACCAAGTAGCGCTGCATCATCCTCTAAGCCCTATCGCTCGCATCTCTAAGCCGCACTTCGCATGACAGAAGGAGCCCCAACTCCAGGTAGATCCCTTCATACTCCTCTGCATGAAAGGCCTCTTTGATCTCACCCTCTTCAAACTCGTCGTCCTGACTCTCGGGCACCTCGTCCTCATTCCCCGCCGGATTCAACGAGTCTGCTTGATCGAGGTTTTCCTACAGTAGTGTGTTGACGAGGAGATACATCCCCCCCATCAGTTCCTCATGCCTTTCTATTTGGACTGGCCCTTCCTCTATTGCCCTCATATCTTCCACTAGGCTATGCGATCCAGCCAACGCCAACTTCATCATCCACTGAATATCTTTACCACCAGGGATCCTCTTCCTCAAAAGGCTTAAGGACTAGCTCCGGCTTCCGGTCATACCCGCTCGGCGCTTGCCAGATAGGATGGCCCACACAACTGGGGACTCGCGGCGACCACTTGTTAATGTGGAGACGGACATCTTCCTCTTGATCCAAAAATCCATCAACTGGGGGTGTATTCTCTATCGCCTCTCCTTCTTGGCTATCCCAGTTGATACGACTCAGCTCGTCCGCCCGGTTCTTGTTTCCAGGGATCCGTTCCAACTCGAAGTTAAACATCCATATGTACGTCAGCCATCTGGCAACTGTTGGATCCGATGGAACGTAATTCCTTAGAGAGTAGGTCAGGGCAGTTGAGTCCACTCTCAGTATAAATCTCCTGCCGAAGATGTAATTTCGGAAGATTCGCAGACAGTGGAGGACAGCAAGGGTTTCCCTCTTGAACTGAGAATAACTCCTCTCGATCGTACAGGGAGTCCGACTCTCAAATCTCAAAGGCCTTTCCTTTCCCTCCATGTCTGCCTGGATTAAAACCCATCCTAAGGCAGTTGGTCCCGCATCCGTTTCAACAATGAAGGGTCTCGTTTCCGTGACGTCATAGTCTGGCGCCCCCAACACCAAACCCCCTTCTCGGAACTCTTCCTTCATTCTGGACACCACCTCTTCCTGCTCTTCGCCCCAAACCCACTCCTGATCCTGACGAACTAACTTTCTCAGGTGCTCAGTCTTTGCGACAAAGTTCTTGACGAAGGCCCTCCAAAATCCGCACGTCCCAAGGAAGCTCCGGACATCAGTTACTGAGTGGAATGGAACTGGCCACTCAGTAATCTTGTCCGTCTTCTTCACATCCGGTCGTCGGTCCTTCTCACTGTAGACGAAACCCAAGATAGTAGCCTCCCTCATGCAATGTCTGGACTTGGCCCCGCTTGCCGTGAGGTTATGCTCCTCGAGCAGGCTCAGGACTTTCTCGAGGTCTTGGATATGCTTCCAGACAAAACGTCTCACCCTTGGCAAGACTTCGTCACTCTCTTTCACCGCCGGCCCCTTCACCGCCAAATCGTCGATATATGGTTGCGTGATATGAGGGCTGACTGACTGCATAACCCGAATCATGGTCCGTTGGACCATCGCTACTGCATTGGTCCATCCTTGTGGAGCCACCTTCATGTGGATTAATCCTCAAGGCGTATGCATAGCTGTCACTGGCCTGTCTGGCGGGTAGACCGAAAATTGGTCATATCCTGAGTAAAGGTCTGTAAGCGAGATTATAGGCCTTCCCGCACATGACTCGGACAGTGCGTCCGCATTGGGCAATCCTCCAGCATCCCGCACTGTCACCGCATTTAGCCTTTGTAGATCTTGCACCCACCACAGCGTCCCGTTAGGCTTGATAAAACAAAACCACGGGGACGCGTATAGCCCACTTGAGTAGTCGGCGACATGCGTACTTATCTTGCCATCGAGGTAGTCCACCACCTTCTTTTTCTCGTCAGGATTAGGATACCGCGCCCCTCTTAGGTTCCACGGTTCGTGTGGCAAGGTGTGGATGCGGATCATAGGTATCTTATCCACATCCAATCTGTCGCGCTCCTCGTCGCTAAACGCATAGGCGCGATGCCTCTTCTTCATTAACTCCACAATCAAGGCTCGTTCCTGAGACAATAGGAAGTCGGACTCTCCTATGATCAACTTCTCCTTGTTCCCTTCGTTGATACGGCATGGCCCTGTTGAGGCTCTCCCCTTCATCCGCCGTATCAACCCCCGCTCTCGCTCATAGTACACCTCCTCGTCTTCAGTAACGAGGACGGGGACTGGGCGGCACTTCTGGTCTACCGTCTTGTACCGCCTTTGGGAACCTTGCTTGAGTCGCCCCCTAAAAAGGACCGACTCACAGATTGCGCCTGCATCAACGCCGGGTTCCTCCTGCCATCCGGAAGACAATATACCAGCTTCAATCTCCCTGCCTCGGGACACTCCAGGACCTGCTCCCTCAATGTCTGGATGGCATCCGGATCTGCCATCTCATGTGCGGCCACCAAGTCCATGGCCTTCCCCACGTCCGACAAGCTGAGGGAGAATACTTCAACCCTCTCTTCCTCTTCTGGGTCCGCCCAGAGCCTCCGGCGCTCGCCCTCCGACTCCTCGATTGTGAAAGACCCTGGATTGGGTTGGTTCCTTATGCTTTTTGGCCCTGTATTCCTGCAGGTGATGACTTGATAATTTTCGCAGGTAGATTCACACAAGAGAAGGATCATAGTCTCATCATGTTTATTAAATATCACCGTCTCTGTCCTGCTCAGAAAGGATCTCCCCAAAAGAATCCCGTGATCCATGTCCGGCATGACGAAGAAGCATGCCCTGGCCTTTATTTTTCCAACCTCGATGAACACATTCGAGGTTGTCCCACAAAACACGACCTTGCAGCTTGCCCCATGTAGAATGCCGCAGTCAGATCGGTCTATATCCAGCCCGAACTTGATGGCATCGCCCTCCCGGATGATATTCATTTCCACCCCTGTGTCCACCATCGCTGCACACTTGGAGCCCTTCACTACCAAATCCACTGTGCCGCAGGCCACACACTTCCAGTCCATCTTCGAGCCCAACTTTGCCCACTCCGCCTCCTTGGGCAAGATCGTACCCAGATGGACGTTGGGCACCAGACGCCGCGACAACCTCCCCTTCAATCCATCGCGGAGCTTAGGGGTACGTCAAACCCTTCTTCCAGCCGGACCGCGTACTTCTTCTTTTTAGGCGGCACATCGTGCAAGACCGACTTAGCTCCGTTCCTGGCCTCTCTTTTCTTAGCCCTTTGCTCCGCCCTCTGATTCTCTTCCTGGCACAGCCACTCATCTTCTTCCTCCTCATCGTCATCATCCTCCACTTCTACTGCCTCTTTCCTTCTTCCCGGCTCGAGCTCTTTCCAGGGAGGTTCTTGGCTAGCACTGGCCTTGGCCTGACTTCGCGTTCGCGCTGCGTGCGCCAGCCAGGCCTGCGGGGTAAGGGGTCCCATCATCATCCCTGTTCGCGGGCCCGACCCTACTACATTTACTCCGGGTCGCCCGGGCGCCGACTCCAGGCCGGAGTCATAAAGGAACACCTTGGGGACGTTAGACCTCCATTCCCTTATTCCCTCACAGAGGTCCACCAACTTCCGTTGGTACCTCCCCATCTTGTCCAACAGGTCTCCCATTTTCCCCAGCAAGGCGGACGGAGGTTCCATCTTTTTTTCCTCATCCTCGTCGTCCGACTCGATGATTATGGGCTCTTCTCTCTTACCTCCTTCTCGTAGCCCCTGAGTTACTTCCTCATCACTCCCAATTGGTGGTCCTTCCTTTTTCTGCCATAACCTGAACGTGGCAGGGGGTGGCGGTCCGGTTGCCGCCCTTCGTTGGGCCTCCGCTCTCACACCCCCAAGCTTCCTGTCAATAAAGTCCCCAAACTGGTCATAGATATTTTCATGCATGGTGGAGGAAATCAGCCCGTTCTTCTTATCCTCCCGCCTTATGTTACAGAACCTAATAGTGTGGCCTTGTTGGTCGCAATGTTGGCAGATAGCCGACCTCCAGTCAAAGCGGGCTCTTCCGTACCCCTGACCTCCTTGATCCCCCTGGCCTTGGTTCCCCTGGCATTGGTTCCCCTGGCCTTGGCTATTCCACTGTCCTCCCCGGCCGCCGCCATTCCTGCCTCGCCCCCTTCCACCACCCCTTCCTCCATTGCCTTGATTGCCCTGACCCTGGTTTCCACCTCCAGCCACGCTCCCTTGCGAACTAGGAGCGGGTGATGGAGGCGGGGTCATAGGCTGGGCCTGGGCTGCAGGATAGATAGGGGGCGGCATACTCGTTTGCGGCCCAGCGTAGGGTACTACCTGTCCGGAAGGCGTCGGCCCTCCCCAAGGCACATATGTGTTGATCACGGGTCATGGCCACTGCCCGAAAGGTGGTACTGGCGCCTGCGAAGGGCCTGCACTACTCGAAGGTGCCGACGCACTCGGGGAGGCAGCTACCACCGCCTCGGGCATCTGGCCCTTTCCCGAACCTTGCCCCCCTTGCGTCAGATTGCGCTGCTTACGCTGCACCTTTGAGAGGTGCGGAGGCACCGTCTCCTCTTCTTCCCACCCTTCCTCGGCAGCCTCCTCTATCACGGCCTCTTTGGCCTTTTCCTGAATTGTCGTTGCCACCTTTCTTTGTATCACCGGTGTCGGGCGGCCACAGGCAGTGGGCCACCCTACGTCAGCGGTGTTAAGTCTTCGACCCGATGACTAGACCGTATTTTGACGGTACTCTTGTTTGACCTGACGGGGAAAATCAGGGGTACCCAGAGCACCCCCAATTTTGGGTGTGCTGACCACTGAGAGTAACCCTCAAATTAACGAGGGGAGTTACCGCTTCTACCACACTGTGCCCCACCTCTTTTTCGCTTGTTCCGAGTCTATTCCCGAGGCAGCTAGCCGCGGGATGGGAATACGGGAGTAAGCCTTGGCACGACCCTTTTATCTTGCATTATTGGTGCGGGAATGATACCTCGAATTTCCTTAATCTTAATATCGAAATTAAAAATGGAAGAAAAAGTTGAAAACAGTAGATGGGAAGAGAAAACGGTTTCCTTATTCTATTAAATTTCCTCGGTATTTAATTTTAACGGGGTCGCCCTCATTAGTCATTATTTTCGATAATTGAATTAAGAAGGAGGAAAATAATTAAAAATAATAAAAGAGAGGAGAACGAATGATTGCTTATTATTTGATCAATTTTAACGACGTTTATTTGTGATGATTTTAACTATGAATTATTCATTCACCATGATGTCATCTGTTTGTAAGGACTTCCGATAATTATAAATTCACGTGTAATTTTTCCCCGATTCAACTGATTATTACTTTAGTTATAACTCGGGTGTAATTCTCGAGTGCTGAGCGGTACCAGTTTCGGGGTTGCTATAACATGGTCGGATCGCTGCGGCTATCGATTCCATTTTGAGACGGGTCACGCGACATTATTATCTTGGTACGGTACACTGGTTCGGTATGGTCACGGCACTTTTGCTGCACTTTACGGCGTCCAGCGTTGGGCTGGTATGGTAACGGGACTGGCGAATGCCGCTCTGGCCAGCTATGCCATTTTGGTACGGTAATTGTGACTTGTTGGTTCGGTACAGGGATGACACCGGGGCAGCGTACTGCAGCCTGCTCCTAATTCTTATGGCTCGGTAACTGGTACGGTACTAAGTGGAGCTGCAACTCGACCTATTCATTTCTTCTCTTCGGGCTCAGCGCTGGTGACACTCATGGCGGTCTGGTATTATCATATTCGGTCTGGTCCAAAACTGGTACGGTTCAGCTATCTTCGGCACTGCTGCTCGCTGCGAGTTGGTATCATTAACATTGGTGCTACGGCCTGGGTCCTGCTACTGGGCCTGTGGGCCTGAGACATGCCACCGTTCCATTAGAGACTGGGTGGCCTGTGTGGGATAAATGACAGACCAGCTAAAGGATTGGGACATTCAGGTGGGGGCAGTCTCTCGCGGCATGCAAGGTGTACCCCGCCCACGTCGCAGATACGGACGAAGTCAACGGGCATCTGGACATGGAGACGGGGGGAGTTTTTCCGAAGCATGCACGGTGTACACAGCCCACCGCTGCCAACGCTGGTTGAACTCAACAGACACGGACAGTGAACGACGACGAGCGCAGCGAACGTACCTGTTCGTGAAGCGCGGTGGTTCCCTACTACTCATAGTCAACGGTAGCTATGGCGGCAGTGTGTGTGTGTGTGTGTGTGTGTGAAAGAGAGCGGGAGCGAGAGAGAGAGAGAGTGAGCCAAAGAGACTGTGTGTGCGAGAGAGGGAGAGTGAGAGGAAGAGGCTGTGCGTGTGAGAGAGAGAGAGAGAGTGAGAGAGAGGGACCGTGCAGTGTGAGAGAGAGGGACTGTGCAGTGTGAGAGGAATAGATTGTGCAGTGTGTGAGGGAGAGAGTCAGCGAGAGAGAGAGATTGCGCTGTGAGATAGAGAGACTGCGCGGTGAGAAAGAGAGAGAGTGCGCAGATTGAGAGGGAGGGGGTGTGCTGAATGAGAGACGAAGAATACTCTACTTCAGGGAGAGGAAGGGCGCTGAGAGTGAGTGAGTGGGTGCTCTGATTGAAAGAGAGTGGCCACGTTGTGAGTCTACCAAAGAGAGACACTGAGAGACAGGATCTGGTCTCTCTCCAAAGGAGGGAGCAGCCACCTGTCGATGAGACCTGCTTCAAGTTTTTACCGCAGTTGAAGAGACCAGCATCAAGCACTCACCGCTGCTGATGTGACCAGCTTCAGAAGCACTACCGCTGCTGATGAGACCAGCGCCGGGCACTTTGATGAGACCAGCTTCAAGTTCTTACCGCTGTTGATGAGGCCAGCGTCAAGCACTCACCGCTGCTGATGAGACCAGCGTCACGCACTTACCGCTGTTAATGGGACCAGCTTCAGCCTCTTACCCCTGTTGATGAGGCCTGCAACAGCCTCTTACAACTGTTGATGGGTCCTGCTAAATGGATGGGGGAACCTGGCCTCAAGTGAACAGTCTTCAGCTCGAACGCCACCATGGCTGCGTAAGAAGTCTGAATCATCTGCATGAACAACGGTTGTTGCTATTCAATCAAGATGTGCATTTCCTTCAAAAAAGATAAATAATAATAAATTAAAAAAGAATAAAGGGAGTCAGATCTTATAAAGAGAGAGAGACACTGCAGAGAGATAGAGAGACAGAGACTGCAGAGAGATAGAGGGAGAGAGAGAAAGAAAGAGAGAGTAATCAAGCACGAAGTGGGGGAGAGCTGAGTGGGTGAGGGAAAGACTGAACAGCGAAATCTTCTTCCCACTCTCTTATCTGGATCTGTGGGATTCGGAGGGATCAACCAACGAAGAACAGAGAGTGTCGTCCCCACTGGAGAACCTTTCTGACCAATAAGTAAGGTTGGACTAGTTTTTTAGCATGCCATTATGACATGATGATGAGGCATCGACCAGCTTCCTCCACTGCCAGCTCCTATTGCAGATCGGACCG